AGACACTTTTTTGGCATTTCTAAGTGGGAGATTTTGAACTTATATATTATTTATAATTATTATATATGTCCTTTTTCTCTCCCACCACATTATCAAATATATTAAAAAAAAGATAAAATCATATAACTTTTATGTATTTACATATCTAACATTAAAAATTTTATATTTATAATATAACATTTTGGTATTAAAAAACATTTAATTTTGTAAAAAAATAAGCAATAGTGAAATTAATATAACTATGCAAGTTTAGGTATTAGATATGTAAATACCTAGAAATTAGATGTGGTATCCATGTAAAAGCCCCAAAAAAAATTCAGCAATATAATTTCCAACGCAAAGAATCCATCCAATTCATTCAACAAATCAACGATAAACAGACCCTTTGGTGCAATTCGACCGTTGAAATCTGAGCCGTTGATTCTTCAAATCAAACTCCCACACGTGCTCCTGCTGCAGTATATTCCCAATGGTCGAAGCCGCCGGCCATGGCGCCGAACTGAACCCAATACACTTAACACCCTCCGACACATCGATCAAATAACTCTTCTCCGGCGGCGACAGATACCCCGCCCCCGTGAAATGAACTGTGAACTCCGGCACGGCCGCCGCCGCCTCCGTCGTCCAGTTATAGCAATACTCAAACGGATCAACCTGAACGCGCGGCACCTCAACAAGCCGGCTGCTAATGGCGGAAACAACAATTTTGTAAGCCGGTTCGGCGAGAACAGTAAGAGTCGTGCCGGAATCAAGAATGGCGCCGCCGCCGGCAGATTCGTTCCAAACAGTGGCCGGAATAGGGAGTAGTTCGCCGGCGACGGAGATTCCGGCGACGGAAATGTAGTAGAAAGGCTGGAGCTTGGGGTCGAGGAGGAGGCGGGCGGAGGAGGAGGAGGAGGAGTGAGGGAGGAGGTCGGCGGTCTGGCCGAAGGTGAGATGGCCGGTGGCGTTGGGAGGGCTGAGGTGGTCGACGAGGCAGTAGGAGAAGAGGTTGCCGAACTTAGCGGTGGCGCGGGAGACGAAGGTGTTGGGACCGTAGCCGAGGGCCAGAACGCCGTCGGATGAGACGAAGCTTGATCCGACGGCTACGGATGTGCAGCCGAGCACTAGGCCTTTTAGTTTGACCCGGCGCCGGTTCAGTAGATCGACCGTTGCTGACTCGCTCGCAAAGATTCCTTGGGCCGATGAGCCTTCCACGTACCTGTAATTTATTTCTTTTTTTAATTTTTTTATTATGAAAAATAAATATATTACCAAACTAATAACAGATATAAATTACATTTATTTAATAAATCGCTAATTTTTATGTATTTGAATCAAACCGGCGGAAGTAGTAGACCGGTTCGACCGGGCCGGTATATAACCCAAAATTCCGGCGAGTTAATATGGCCACAAACTATCATCAGCTGTGGAGGAGAAACAGCGCGTACATGATTAACATTATAAAATCCTGACACGCGGACGTAAGTGTTTATTGGTGCTGACGTGTCGAAAGAAAATTGGGTTGTACAGTGAGCTCTTGTAGGCGCAATGATAGCGAGGATGAAAAGGCATGACTTGAGTTGATAATTAAAAAATAATAATAAAGCGCACGACAATTAATGCAACTGCTAGCGTATGCGACGTCCACGAGAAAACAACTATGCATTAAATCGCTATCCGCAGCCCTTTTACCCCTTCCCTTGTCACGACTTACCTTTCTAAGGATATTTATTTTCTAAAAAAATATATATTTTTTATAAACATAAAATTAAAAGTTTAAGTATATAAAAACACTAGTTAATGTAGTCCAATGTGTTTTCCTATGAAGTTAGAATTATACAAAATTATAATTATCATCATAATTTTTTCAAGTATCAAATTATTTTTCAATAATTTCGGAACTATTTTTTAATAAGTTGCAATTGTCTAAGAGTCCGTTTGAGGCAGTTTATTTG